CCACGAGCGAGAGAGAGAGACTGAGACAATGATTAACTTAACTATTGACTCACGAGTGGCGAGTGAGCGGGCGAAATAATTATAATCCACACAAGTCAGATAGAGATAACAAATAAGAAGTGTATCCTCAACTCGTACGGATTTTCGCTGACGTTATTCATGCACGTAAAAATTACCACTAAGGCGCTTATGTGTCAAATACTATACGGTCGTTTTTTGTATGTAACGTTTGCATTAACAAGTTGACATTTTACGTTGATACGGCACTTGTCAAATTGTTTATATTCATTAGCGCCTGTTTACGAAAACATACTGAGTTATGTTTAGGATTTCTTTGCGTAGTGATTATTGTGACTTTATTTTCTTCATTTTCATCGTAAAGTTTAGAGTTATGATACTTTACGAGTTAATTCTGTGTACATAGACTGATTTGTGTAAATGGACATTTTTGTAAATAATGAATTGACATAGTGACATTTTTGTTAAAGTATGAAGGAGAATCGATTTTATATACAATCTTATTACGGTACACAATAAATAATCTTAGCACTTATATTATTCAGCATGGTTGCCACATAATATTTCACGGATCAGTCAGTAATAAACGCCCGCGACGCAACTTAATGTACCTATTCGGAACATTCTTTCTTTTATATCTTTTGAGACGATGATACAAATGAGCCAAATGAAACATATCAATGTTTCGGAACATTTCAGTGATCAAGATGCAAATGTTCCAATCCCAAAAATGATACACTTTGCCCACCTCCAAAATACACTTACTCGCTTCGGTAGTGCGACGAACACTGAGCGCATTCCGTACGGAATTTACGTATGTGTGTTGCGACTCGTACAAAATCTATGGAAGACGTGCGTTCGGGGCGGCTTTTTTCCATTCAGGATCCCGAACGCACAGACGATCATACGGAATCTCGAATCGGAAAAATTCCGTTCGGAAAAATAACGTACGTGTGTGGCGGGTCATAGACTTTATATGGACTTGCTGCGTTCGGAATCCCGAATCGGAATATCGAAACGGAATCTCGAAACGGAATTCCGTATGTATGTGGCCGGCCTTCATGTCATATGTCATTCCTTACAGTTGTTGTTACCACGATTAGCAAAGTTCTGGCAGGCAAAGGTACTAGACCATACAACCTAGAATGTATTTTAGTTACAAAATTCTTCAGAATATTGAGCATATTGTGAAGAATTTTGTAACTAAAATACATGTGTGTGTGTGTCATATTGCAAAGTTCTTGGAAAATTTCGATCATAACTTTACCCTATGGACAGATGATGATGATATTAAGCTTCCAAAGCGGTTGCATTCTGCAGGTGAATTGGGACAGGGTGCGATATTTTTTGTGTTATACCCTTGGGGGAAGATTTGCTTCTCGACGCATGATCTCAACGTTGTTGCTGATATGGTACTTTTTAGAATTTTTTATTCCATCCTCTGTAGTTGCGTCCAATCAAACTCTCTATAACAGGGGAAACATACCGTCGACCGTCCTGCAGTGTGAGTGCTCCATACCTGATGTGCGAATTTTTATTTTTATTTTTTTATTTTTTTTTTTATTTTAATAAGGATAACAACAGCGTATATCACTAAATACAATTTTCAATTTCACTTCAAGTATGCCAATAACAGTCATCCACATATTAAATATAAAGGTAAGCCAGGTACAATTATAATAAATAATACATATTCTAAAATATTACATAGTTTACTTATTATTTAAATATAGATACCTGCAGAAAGTGTTCTTCATAATGTACCTTACCTGCATCCTACGTAAATGGTTACAAATACAGGTAATTCAAACAACAGAAGCTGTGTTCGAATAACACTTAAAAGGTCACTGAAAACGGCGACTACTCAGACCCATCTAACTACATAATGGAATCCATTAGGAACTGCCAGCTCATGAGCATGATCCCCAATAAGGTTTCCATTGAGGTCGAGATCTAATTTACCCAACTCATAGATGTTGTGACGACCCCGCGAAGACAGTATGGTTTAAAGGGGACGCTATGCTTTTTAATATAGCAATGATGCATTTGACATTTCTTCGTTAGGGTTAGGCACAAAGCGCTTCTTTTAAAATCCTTCGTTTAAAGTCTCGGATTAGCAACGGCTAAATCTAGTCCAGGTTAACTCTGAAAAATTATAGGTGTGCGCGTTTACCGCTTAAAAGAAACCCTTTGTCGCATCTCCTGAAAAGTAGATCACTTCCTTTGAGTCCACAGCCAGTATTGGTAACTTGAAAGGGAAGGATTACTTGAAAGCAGGACAGTATTTCATGCCAGCGCACTACTTGTATATCTTTAAAAGGCACAAGTTCGGCAAGGCTCCAGTGCCAACTCCTCCCACTTGATCGAATCCAGCAAAGAGTGACCAGACCGAATCATAGACGAATGAGTTTTTTTTGGAGTGGCTCCATTCACTGGCGTTGTGAATAGATGAGACATCTCTTCGCATTTCCTATCACATTTACCACGGGGAATGCTTAGAAGAATAGTTGTCGACTAATTCCTAATAATATTAATAATTCCACCTGTTAAATTCCAATAACGCATCGCAATATTCACGAAACCATCCACACCATTTGGGTGCTTGGCGATCTACCACTGTGGGATTTACTAGGAGTTTTCTTCCTCACACAACTTCTTTGTGGCGTCGTCTACTACTACGATTTGATTGGTACTACTGAAAGACGAATGGAATAAACTTACTCCTTTTTAAAATTTCGATAACGCACCTTAAGTCTCTTGCTGTTTATTGCTGGCGTTCATGAACTTCGTTCATCACATACTATATATATATAACATAACATACATACTACTAAATAAACGTCAGATTAGGCTGTATGGTCTTATCTCTTGCCTGCCTAAAAGATTTATATTAAAATTATACTTTTTTGGTTCAAATTTGACACCAAGGTCAAAGGCTGTATGGCTTAAATCCTTTGCCTGCTCTCTCGAGCGAATAATAAAAACAACAACAACAACAACCAAGATCAAAGATATGGAGTGTAGAGTAGAAGGAGAACCATCTTATAAGGAGCGAAGGTTGAAAAAGTGTCCTACTATTTACTGTAAATAGAGGTTCCAAAACCTACCACAATAGCGCTGGCGTCTGAAAAACTACGATATGAAGATAGCTGTTATGAACGGAGTGAAGTCAGCTGAATTCAAATATTTCATGACTAGAGTAGTTAGTAAAACGCCAATATACAAAATCTCAACTATTTACGTAGTACAAAACCAAGCGGATTGATCGGTTCTTATTTATTTCTCCATCTTACTCTAAATACTTTTGGCGCTTCTTTTTTAATTTATCCTATGCTACTGCAGCGCCACCCTTATTGGACACGTTTTTAGGGACACTTTTCATATACAGAGATGGTCCTCCTTCTACTCTACACTCCATAATCAAAGATCAAAGAGTGAAATGAAATAACTAGGGATGATCGATGTTGTAGAAACATCGATGATGACATCGATGTAAACATCGACAGCTCAACATCGATGTTCGATGTTTATCCTATTCAAAACATCGATGTTGGCCGTTATCGATGTTTTTTTGCTCATGTAAATAATAGGTTAGAATTAGATCAATAAAAAAATTGTCATTCTGTTTATGGTTTATAATTAATGAAATAAAAGAAATTAATAAACAATGTAGTATAAAACAATAATTAAAAAAATTGAAAGAAGTTCACAAATATCTAATTCACTTGTTATATCATTTATAGAAGAAATAGTAATTTTGACAGAGAAATACCTTTCAATCTGTTTCTCTGTTGATAAAGAATTGAGCCAGCTATTGAAAATAATTTAAAAATAACATTTTGTACAACTGACTTAAGGATAACTCAAAAACCATTGGTTAGACTTATATGGGTCTAATTTATATGGAACCACATGTGAAGAACCAAATTTCAAATAAAAAAAGAATCATCGAAATCGTTTCCCCCAGAAAAAAGTTATGAGGTAACACACATTTAAAAAAGAACATACAGTGAAATTATTTTTGAAGTTTTTTCCTCATTTTTGAAGTCGGTAGATAACCGCTCAGATGGCGCTGATGTAGCGATTGTGGTCAAATATCTCACCGCAAGTTTTCTTTTTAATTTTAGACAGGTAGAACCGATAACATTGTTCTAATCGTGTATTGGGTCGTATTTAAGGTGAAAGCTCCAGGGTGGTCCGCGAAATCATCAATACAACCCCCTAAGTTTGTATAATTCCTTTTAATGAGTTTTTCTGGAAATAGCCATACATTGGAATTATACGAACATAGACGGTTGTATTGATGATTATAATGATTATAATTCTGTAAATACATACTCGTTACGCTTGCGAATCATATTTTGTTAAACATTCAATCTGGCCTTGACCTGCAAATTGCAAAAAGCGTAAGAAAATTTGAATTTCGAGGGCTACCCTGGCGCTTCCACCTTAAGATCAACCATCGTATTTTTTTGAAAATAACCGATTAAGAAGCAGATAACCAACAACGACACCAATAACAAACGAACTCAGTGACAACTGCGACATTACAGTTGACACTTGACAGTAAAATTTGATACTTCATAATGATATAGTTTTAGGTTATCGATGCGTTCAAGCATTCTGAATTATTCAAAATTTTAAATATTTTAGAGGAGATGCAAGATTTCGCGGATTCGCAAGTACCCAATAATCGATTATGGGTTTATTGACATCGATGTTTCGATGTTTGACATGTGGCAACATCGATGTTAAAACATCGATGTTTTTATTCTCCCTAGAAATAACGTGAAATAATGAAGAGTTTTATATACTGAAAGAGACTAAGAAGAGCTGAAGAGCCTGACGAAGAAAGTTTGTTGATTTGTTTGTGTACATAACCTAATAATTAAAATAAAAAAGGTGTCTAAATTCCATAAGCCATTAATTTTTGAAATACAACAGTTACATATTTCGATTGTAAGTTATTATTCTTTATTATAATGGTGTCTTACTTTACACTTGATGCCACCGGTGAAGTCACGAACTTCCAAAAAGAAATATCGAATATGATGCACGGATTTGGGGACAATCCAAATCCAAACGCTGCGACTGTTGTATTAGTAGAAAGTATAGTCCTTCAACAACTTCGACAAATGCTTCAGGAAGCTCTAAATTATTCAATTATACGTGGAGCGAAAGCCATATCAAACTACGATATTATTTATTTAATGCGTAAAAACATTATAAAATTGAAACGTTTACATGATTATCAATTAAAGTTGGATCAAATAGACAAAAGCCGACAGGTGCCAACCACAGAAACTATAATGCCAGGCATAATTATAGATGATGAAAAAGATCCATCTATAAAGAAACGAAGAACACACATTGACATCATAAAAGAGTTTGACGAAGCAGATGAAGTGAGCCAGATTAAATTTGATGCTATTGATTATTTGAGAAAAGTAAGGGCTGCCAAAATAACAGAATCAATGTCTTTTGAGAAGTATGAAGCATATCATAAAGCTAGGTGTGCTTCATTTAGGTCTGGATATGGAATAGGTAAGGGTTTTATGAAATTAGAAAAGTGGCTGAATCCCACAAAAGAACTTAAGATCACTTTGTCTGCATTAGAAGTTTTATGTTTTCTGGCATATGAAACTGTTGCCGAGATTGTTGATGCTGTATTTTTTATTAGGCAAGACAGCAGAAAGAAAAATGGAGATCCATTTAGCAAATTTGAAGGTGGACATTTCTGTAATCCTGTTAGCTTAAATAATGCAGTATATATTAAGTCTGGGTATGAAGGTGTTCCTGCTATCACTGTTGCCGAAGTAAGAGAAGTTCTGAGGCGATATTTTAACCCAAGAACGGGCATGAATGGTCTATTTTATAGGAATATGTGTATGGATTTGCCTGTACGATATATTGCTATTTAACTATATGAAATTGGTTAAACTGTGTGTTCAAGTATTTCAAGAAAAATATGCCAAAATATGGAAATTCTTTGATTAACAGTAAATTTAAGAAGACTACTGATGATAAATCAGAATAGGTGTGGGTCTGTATGTGCATTTGTGGTTGTTTGTGTGCTTATCACCTATACTTCTGTAAATTTTTTGTAAAGGTATATATTAACCCTTTCCTTGTCCCATGAATGATATATCTACTCAAAAGTCCGGACAACACGGCAACAATAGCCTTGAACATCTCGGCGCTGCTTGTTGCGAGTTTTATACGGTCCGATTGCGACCAGTTCAACTAAATTCTTTACCATGGAGAGAGTTCTTTACCTATATCAGAATAAAAATCACTCACAGAAAGCTAATGAAATGCAGAATTTAATTATATACTACTATATTACTATGGTCGCCCAGATGTTTGAGTGGATATGAACATTTCAGTTGTTTTACTTGTGTGTGTATTTTTGCAAACAGGGAACATGTTATAATAAGTGACATAATATGATTTATAATTAATGTAGTTTCTTTATAAATGTCAAATAATTAGTGGAAGGAATTAATAATAATAATAGTTAACATTATATTATTTGGGCACATACAACTTATATTTTTTTGTGATGCATTGATGCACCTATTGTTTTAAGATTACAATTACAGCTTAGAGCCAATTACAGATTTAGGTGTTGTTTTTGAAAAAAAGTTATTACCACCATACTAGGATTTTCTTTGCACATTCTATGAGAGGAAGACAAAAGGGGTAGGACAAGAAGTTAGACAACTATCTCTCTGTGATGTAGATTGGTGTAGAACCATGTAGTATTTGAGAAAAAAACTATTATTTGCTTGATTACATGACTATTTAAGTTAACTACACATAGTTGCATCAAACGATCATAATATCTGGTGAAGAAAAAATCATAATTTATTCGATAATTTAAGTAAAAATAATGTAACATAATACATAAAATATTTATAGACAATTTTATCAACCGGTTGCGAACCATAGTACAACTATCAAGAATTAATATTTTGAGAAAAATAATTTTTGTATAAAATCTTTTCCATAGGGGTTTTTCCAAACTTAGTTTTCATGTTAAAACTACTCAAAAAACTGATTTTTTATAAATTAAAAAAAATCATAATTATTATACTGTTACGGCTTACTTATAGAAAAAATAGAATAGTGCACTTAAATCAGTATGGCACATAATAATTTATGTTCAAGACTAAAATTGTCCTAGTACACTGTACAAATTGAAATTTGAAACATTTAAAATTTTGTACTTAAGTTATAATCTTGGTGAATAAATTGGTAAACTAGTTTCAATAACTAATTCATCTTCACATAAAATATAATACAAAATACTTTCTTTGTCTGTCTTATGTATTTCATCTTTTCACAGTCGACCTAGCCCTCTTGGACGACCTGTTGAAGTCAATGCATTCTTAACACTTTGTAACGAATTACAAAAATCTATCAGTGTTATGAATCTAAGAATCTCCATCAAATCTTTATGTTGATTATATTTTATTTTGATTTCACTTTCTCTTGAGTTTGGGAAGGATTTTAGAATATTCCTTTTTTTAGTATCCATTTGGACTTGGCGAAATGGTGAGTGATCCAATGTCTCCTTCAATACAGTTTTCGTTTTTTTTTTTAAATCTTATCGATCTTATTTTCAGCCAGTTAAATTTCTTTTTGATGCTGTTACTTTTCCTGTTATTGATAGCCTTTGAGGTAGGGGCCTTTCGACAAATAAAATCCTCTTGTTGCATTCTATTTCTTGCTCGTTTTTTCAACTAAAGTCATCCAATCTTCAGGCACATAAATATACTGGACTTTCTTTTTCAGTTTTTCAATGTGCGAAAAATCAGGGTTAGTCTTTAGAGAACTGTGCCCAGATAACATGAATTTCTGATCCACTGTTTATAACCCCAGTATGAGCTACGACATACATCCAAAGCCTGCAAATTATTTAGATTTAGTTTGGATTTAGTTTCGGTTTTGACAACCGCAACTGTTTGCTGTAATCAATCAAGTGTTTACACACCCTTTCGGGAATTTTTTTAATTAAAAACAGATAGTTTGTAATTAATAGACAAGAAGCTACATGTGATGCTCCACGTGACGCAATTTTTTCCCCCACATTTACATATGTACGTCTCCAGTTTTGCACTCATGAATCCCTAAATTATAGGTCCAAAATTGACATTTGTAAGTATACTAAATTTGTTTGTAAATATGGAGTAGGAAAGGTTTTCTCTAAGTCTAAAGTAATTAGATGAACTGCGTCATTTTCTTTGTCCCTATGTTTAGTTCCTCTTATCCTCTCAATTTCTAATCAATGATGTTTTTTTCCTCCTTGATACATTGTTTTTTTCTGCATTTTTTCACATTTCTAAAGAAGATTTTCTAGCTTGTCACACGTATTACAAGTATCACATCTAAAATAGAATAGAATAGAATAGAATGAATAGAATGATTTTTATTCAATATGGATTATTACATAATACTTATTGAAAGTCATTATTTTATTTACCACTGGTTCGGAAAATACCTCTGTCCTGGGAAGAACCAGCAAGAAACCCAGCGGGACATTTTTTTTTAAACATAATTTCACTTAACAATAATTTTGTTTATACAATTTTAAATGAATTTTCATAGAACCAGCATGGTGGCGATCACCTTATTCCCAGGGGTTATTTTCATTCATGTATTCCTTGATATTATAATAACCCTTTTTGTAAGTTTTTCTTTAATAAAACTTTTAAACTTGTTTATTGACAAACTTTGAACATGTTCTGGGATTCTGTTGTAAAAGCGTATACATTGCCCCATAAATGAATTACTAATTCTGTGGAGTCTTGTAAGTGGCATTACAAGCTTATGTTTGTTCCTAGTGTTTAAGGTAAGGTGTCTAAGTTTCTAAAATCCAAGATTAAATTTAGTATTGACATCTTTCTATAGATTTGTTCTCTCTAGTTTTTTGCCTTCAGTAATGATTTTTTCTTTATACAGTGAATATATTTTTGATACTGTTAACTTAGGAGATAGATATCTTTGTCGGTGCAATCGGTGCATCCTAGCGTGAATAATGGCTTTTAAATGTGGGAAAACTGTTGATGTGTGTGTTCCCAGACGTGTCAATTTGTTTCTTAGTTTTTATTTAAAGGTTCATGTTTGCCAAGTTTGTCATACACAATCAGTCCCTTGACTTTAGCAAACACTGCACAGGTAAATCTATTTGAAATAGTTAAAGGTTTTTTTAGAAAAAAAAATGCTCTTAGAATTTAATGTTATCACAATACTTATTTTTTGTTGATTGATCGCTTCGGTTTTCTGTTTGTACGCAATATCTAATGAAATTCGTTTGGTCTTCCCAATTTCCTAGATTCCAAAACTCCGAATTTATTATTAGATTACGTTCACTTTCAGAAAAAGTGTCGCATTGGTATCGACAAACGTGCGAAAAGGTTTCTAAAATCTTAGCTAGAATTGTTTTGCATTTAGTAGACATACTCTTTTCCTACATTGTGTCTCAGCTTTCTTACATTTCTCTTCCAGGTATTAATTTTCTTGTCTTTTGCGTTTTGCGGTATAATATGCTGAAATAAGTTTAGTGTAATAAGTTCAACCCAGCGAAGACCGGCATACTAAATTAAAAAAAATACAAATGGTCTTAGTTTGGCTATTCTATAACCTTAAATCCAAATTTGGATAAACTAGATTATAATATATTTAGTTTTAGTTGATCCGACAATGAATATGTCAAAATAACAAAGAAACCATCGGTTCAGAAAATAAACATTTAACCCTACATTACTACTCATGTTGCGACGTACAAAGAAACTACTCATACGCCCGCGAGGCGCATCATATTGACTAATGATTTTATTCAAAACCTATAAGTATAATTGATATATTTTGAGTGTTTATATAATTGTGTATATAACTAAAAAGAGAAAAATTTAATTTAATTTAATAATAAAATCTTTAATCAAATAGATCTTAGGAACAAATTTTAGGAACTCAGGCAAATAAACAGTCATCTCATTAAAAATTAAAAAAAAAAACAAATTAAAGTATACACTTCGCTTAAAAAATAGTAAATTATGAAGTAATTAACCCTTGTGTGACTGACAAGGTACCTGGGTAACTTTTGCGTTTTCAAATCACTAATATTCTGTTCTCCAAAAGCGGCGGATCTTGTACCTTTGTGACATCTTTCAGCAGCGTTGTTGGTACTTACTAGACCTTTTTTTCAATTTAGAATTTATTTTACACTTAAAAGAAATTTGTTTCTTTGTTCAGCTTTAGATGACGGAGTAGGTACCCGGGTATCTTTCAGCTTTTTACATATTTATTATATAAAATCAGTTAAAACTCGTAGAAGCAATACTATTATTGCTTTTATGTCTAAAATAAAAATACTTCAACAAAATTACAATGTTTATTGAGCTTTTTGTTTACAAATGTTACAGGTTGGTTTATTTACACAATGTTCATTACAGATCGGTTTGTGACAAATCGAACAAACTTTTCTAGTTTTGCGTTGCTTGTGAATCAATTCTCTGCAAATGAAGCAACTGCCTACTACGGGTATGCGTCCAGTTTTGTCACGGGGTGTCTGACTGTAGTCTTTAGCAACGTCTTCTTGAAACAATTGCTGCCCAAGTACAATTTCAATTGAAGTACGTGTAAAGTAGTGTCCCATCACTCTTGGAATGCTGGAGCGATTCTGTATGGCAGGAAGGCATAACTGTTTTGCAAGGTCTTTCAAAAAAAGTCGTCGGCTATCAGTGCGTCTAAAGTGTCAACGCCACTTTTGGTTTTATTGTAATATTTGGTACTCGGCTTAGCTGTCAAATTTTCTTCTACTTCAGCTGTGCCATGCATTGATGACGACAAGACAACTGATTTGTTTCTTTTGGGCACGTATGAGCAGAGTTTCGTTTTCACGAAATGCAAAATTCGTAGATAAGATTGCTCTATCTTTTGATGCCTGCATGTTAGAGGGTTGCCATGGTTTGTTTTTTCTAACGGTACCTACTAAAGTCATACGCCATGAATTTAAAACTCGAGCCAGTTGCAAGCTGGTAAAAAAATTGTCTGTAGTAATATTTCTCCCTGAACCTTTGTAAAATTGCACCAAATCTAAGACCGTCTTTTCACCAACATTGACTTGACGTTGCCCGTCTAATGGTTTTCCTGTGTAAATTTGTCCTTGTAGAGGATAAGCGTTTGAAGAATCGCATGCCCAGAAGATTTTTATACATACTTTGCTGGTTTGGACGGCATGAATTGCGTAAATTTTGTATGTCCTTTATAAGTGAACAATTGTTCATCTACTTCATTGGGTTTATAATGTTTTTTCAAATTTTCATTACCATCATCCACATGTCGCGAATTGGCGCAGCTTTGTCGGTTTTTGCACGTTCATTACGTGTGCTTTCATTGTCAAATCGAATGAATCTCAAAAACATTTTGTATCGGTCACGAGACATAGCCGCTCGTATCAGAGGCAAAGATTCTAACTTCCACATTTCGGAAATATGTTCTTTATTAGATCTATGTACACCAGCTGCAAGAAGTATTCCCAGAAATGCATCAAATTCTATTTCAGTAAACGATTGAAAGTTTTTTTGAAATCGCCGGTTTTTAGCCATTATTTTTCTGTTATAATCATTCGTTACTTTTTGGGCTTTTCGGTTGGTTTCCCTTAGAATAATATCACACATTTCCGTAGAAATGATTATTTTGAATATTTCTTTTGCCGAGTAGGATGCGGTGTAATTTGCTGCTCCAGGTTTTTGACGTAAAATATTGCGACGAACTGTCTGAGCTTGCGGAAATGCATCCCTGTACCATTGAGTGCCATCTTTACTCAATAAATTCGACTCTATGGGCGATTCTTCTTCATCTTCGTCATCAGAGTCATAGTACTCTTCTTCCTCAACTACAGGATTTTTTTCTGAATCTGACTCTTCAGAATCCATAGCTTCCAGTTCCGGCACATATTCATCCTCGTCAGACGCAGTGTATGGCTCTTCTTCCGATTCCGAATCATCTAGGGCGGCTCTCAACTCGGCAGATGTCAATCTAAAATAACATATTTTTTTATTAGAAACTCAAGTAGATCGTTTGATTAATAGTCTCGGACATCCAAAATTTAAATTTGAATATAAAATAATAATTATTGTTTGCTTACCTTTTATTCCGCCACTTCGGCACGGAATATTCGCTTGGACCAGCTTTATTATCATCATCCATTTTTGTGACACACTATCAAATAATTTCGAAAAACACGTCTTTACACAGTGAATTTGCTTGGACAAATGCTCGGACGCAACGAACCATGCAGGAGGGCAACATGTTCCGACAAGAAAAAACTTAAGTTGAAACACATCTAGAGTGCAGTAATAATCTTAACACAGGACGCACTATGGTAACAAACAATTACAATTTGCGTAAATTTAAATTTTTACCCCCCAAAAAATATTTTGTTCGTCAAATGGTATCAATAAATAAAATTAATTTTCATATGACTGTGTGGGGAAAATCTAAATACAAGTCATTTTATCTTGTTTATCTAAATATTCATGGTTAAATATTAAATACACCATAAAAAATCCATATAAACGTCAAAAACATGTTAAGAATTATAGCAGGTACCCGGGTACCTATACCGTCTCGAGAAGGTATTTTATTTCACAGTCACACAAGGGTTAACTAAAACAAACTAACAAAGTAAGAAAAAAAAAAATTTTAGATGCATTAAATACATACATGAACTTGATGTTTGCCGTAAATAGATTTTTCACACTTGGCGCACGTCATTTTGGACATCCTTTTCTTTTTAGATGTACAATAAGAGCAATACCTTCTTTTTTTGGCGGTGGTGGACCCTCATATTCTACAGAAGAGTCATCGGAAGGTTTTTTCAGGATGACTTCAATAATATCACGGATATTGCGTTTCAACGTAGGTGCTTCTAGTCTTTTTTGCATCCATTCAGTAGTCAACTGCGTGCTAAGTTTTTTCATAAATTGTCTTCGACTCAGGGGTTTTTCATTTTTTGTTGATATATTATGACAATAAGGTAGTTGATACAAATAAGTCCTACCTAATTTTAAATGGCTATATTATCAAAAATATAAATGAATGTAATAAAATACATAGTTAATTAGCATCTTTTTTCATTAATTAAACGAATCACAAAAAACGTTTTCAACTTTTTAACAAAATATAACAAAAAAATTTACTTTCAAAAACAAACATTTTGGCCAAATTAAATCGCGTATACGCAACAAGGCCTATATACTTCAAATTAAAAATTCTCCAAAACTAATCTTAAACTTAACAAAATGAGGTTTCATAATATTAGACAGTTTGGTTTCCTAAAGTTATAAAAAGTTTCACAAAGAAATAAAAATATTTAGCATTTTTATCATGCGATTGGAATAAACCTTCTATTATTAACAAAATTAAGTGAAATATCAATGAAATTAAATTGTCACTGTAACAAATAAATACTTAACTACACCTTTATTTCAAAAAATACAAAAAAACTTTTTTTTATTATTTTTTGGCAGGCCTTATTACAATACCGTAAGGCCACAAAAGAAATGAAATTAAAATCAAATTAGCAACTTTCATCAGTCTTAAATTCTTATAAACTAAAAGAGATCTCAAATTAATCACAGTCAGGACATAAAAAGGCGTTAACATCCTCTGTCGTGAGTCCAATGCATTCATCGTGATACCACCTAGAACAGTCCCTGCAAGATCTCATATCTGCGACTTTGTCTTCATCACAGGCGTGACAGTACCAACTTTCTTCCTCCTTATTTTTCTTCCTCCTTCTTGTTTTTACGTTCTTCTTAGTGCTATTCTTTTCAGTCTTTTTATTTGATTTCGAATTTGTGTCTTTTCTTACAGGTTTTTTTATTCTATCTGAAACTGCTTTCTTTTCACCGACTTTTGTATCTTTAATTTTAAAAATACTTTTTTGTTATTCTTTGACCTTTATAGTTTAAGGCTTTTTTTCGTGGTCTAGTTTTAATATCGCCATAATCAGGTGTTGGCATAAATTTCTGGAATGGAGATTTTGTACTTAATTGCGCTAAAGATACGTTATCTTCATCTGGTGAGTCTTGTGATGAATTTCTTGGGCTTGTAGACGTACATTGAGGCCGAGGTAGGTATGAAATTGTCGGACTTGCTGAAATGATAGATTTTGAATGCTGAGATAGAGGTAAAATATGTTCGGATCTTTCAGGTACTTGGTTTATTTTTGATTTAGGAGACAGATGTACATCTACGGCGACCTCAAAAGTTTGTGGAGATTGAGGAAAAGATACTACTTTGGATCCTTCGTTCGTGACGTCTGTTTCTGAATCAGTAGACGAATAAATCCTAAAACGTCGTACTGGAAGAGGTCTGTTTAAAAATTTGCTGATAATTTTAGATTGTACAAATTTGCTTTTTGTTTCAGTGTCGGAAGATTCGTCTGTGTCGCTGTAAGCTACAAGAGACTGTTTATTGTGTATTCCACTAGTCCACGGCAGATTTTCATCATCAGCGAATGCTGGCGTATGACGCACAGAAGAATAATTTTCAAATACTTGAATATCTGGAACACCTGACGTTCCTGGCAGAATTTCTGTTGCAATCAGATCTCTTAATTCTCGTAAAGTGGCAATGGGCGGCGAGGAGCAGGAGTCATCATGTGTGTCCATTGCAGTATCGGAGTTTGGTGAAGGATGTCCAAGTACTTCATTTTCATTTGACAAGACGGAATGGATTGATCGTTGGGTTAAAATTGATGGGGCAAAAGCAGTTTCTGGTATTGCATTAGGATTAAGTGGATAAAGACCGGTCGCTCTGAACCCACTAGTAATGTTTGCAGTAGTCATACACTTGGCCCACACCCGTGTTAATATTTTATTGAACTGCTGTTTTGAGATTGCCTGTGCACGAGTTTCGTAAAGAAATTGTAAAACTTCTTGATCCCAATACGTCTCAAATGGCTTGAAACAAGTCTTGTCCATAGGTTACAACTCGTGCGTGGTATTCGATGACAGACAATACAGCACTATGTCATTTTTTTCAACTTCTACGATGCGATAATCCAAGTGGCACTTTGCGCCACCAAAAATGAGTAAACATTTTCCAAATGTTTTATATTTGGCTAGGTGTTTAATAAAGATGATGAATATGTCTGTTGTCATGCTTCCTTTTCTAGCCATTTGAACAATAGACCCTGGAGGAAGATTTTTTTCATACTGTGCCATCTTCCTTTTTCCTTTAAACAAAATCATTGGAGGTACAGGATTTCCAATCGCATTGGCGCAACCAACAACTGTTACATTTTCTCCATGTTCTGCCACATGTATGTGTACCCTCTTTGCTCCTTTTTGTGAGATCACTGTCTGCTGGTGATGTAACCTAAGCCTGCAGCCCTTTTCATCCAGGTTATAAATTTTTTCTGGATGGTCATGCAATTCCAGTTCATCGTAAAGTTTTTTTACTTCTTCAAAATGGTGGAATACAATGGGTTTATTCAATTTTTGGGCACGGGCTGGATTTAGAAACTGTGCCTTACGTTTGGCCCGCTCTGGGTTTCTTTTTAAAAACAACCTCAACCATCCTTTTCCAGCAAGCCCTGATTGTTCGTTAAAGTTATGAGGAATACTAAATTTCTGACAAAAAGCAAACGCCTGTATTATTACATTTATTATTATGTATTATTATATCATTTTCGGAGTCAAAGGTATGCCCAGCTGCGCGAACTTTATTATTCGTTTTACAAAATCTTTTTCTTGATCTGAAGTGAATATAGTCTGTCTTCCTAATCTTTTAGTGATCTTCCCATTTTTGACATGGTTTCTTAGAGTTCTTCGCGGAATACCATATTGCGCTGATGCTTTACAAGTTGACATTCCATTACGTACCGCACGAACTGCCGCGGCCAAGCTATCTTCTGACCAAGTAGCGCGTTTTTGTTTTGATGGAGACATCTTGCTGGGGACTGATGACAGGTACTAATAACTCTGCAATAGAATATTGAAAATTAAGAAAATAGAGATTACCAAACCCGCCGACACTGCATTGTCACCAAAATCAATTATTATCACCAAATGGTCGGTCAAGCAATCATATAATGTACCAACATTGTTGAAAAAAAGCGATATATTCAATAATGCCTGTGGTCACAAATAAGGCCTATCGCGCAACAAATAAGACCTATCGCGCAACAAATAAGGCCTAGGCCTTATTAAACATCCCGCTCAAATTATCTTTAAAAATATACAAAAAGTACATCAACGGACAAATCTTAAGTCTAACGAGACAAAACGTTAGTAAATATATTAAGAAAATAGTTGTTTTAATTATCGTACACAAAAACTAAGTAATTTTAGCTAAAAACTTACCTCGAAATCTCCAGTATTTTAAAAATTGGCGCAAAATCGTCCACCTTGCTCGAAGAACGCGTGCCAACTGGCGACTGGGAGGGGAAGCGGGACGCCCACGCATTTGTGTCATTTATAGGGCCGTTACATGCGGTCGCGTGAATTATTATTGAAATATGGTTCATTGCTCTAGGTTTTTCGGTGCATAGGCCTTATTACAACATAGGCCTTATTTGTATCAAGTACCTTGTTTAACATACGAATTCACGAAAGATATATTTAGCATGTCATGCAAAATAACCTTTGGCCATCGGTTAGTCTTTCTAGAGCATGACATAGATGAAGTCATTTGGCCCAATGTATTTACACCACCTTTGGTCTGGTTGTAGAACATGATCATCTCCGGCTTTCCAGTTTCATTATTTATGAGCCCTTTTTCGTCGCACGAAGATAACAGGAACACCATTTTAGCTGGTTTTGGTTTGTAGGAAACCAAAGTCAATGGGCCATCATAGACGAACATGGATGTACCAACAGGTCGACGCCGAGTGTTTTTCATTTCTTGAGGAATTTCCCGTTTGTTAGATCTTATCGTACCAACGAGCGTGAGTTTGTATGGTTCAGCAAGTAGTGCTTTGGCCAGCGATACAGACGTGAACCAATTATCACATGTCACGTTACGATTAGTACCATGTATAGGACGGCTCAATTCCTTTACGTAGTACTCTCCCTGAGGTAATCCTCCGGTGTCGGTGGCTCTTCCAATGTATGGCAAAGCGTTAACCATATATTTCGTACCATTGTCACACATCATAGGTATTTTGATCCCGTACTTGTTGGGTTTATTCGGAATGTACATTCGAAAAGGACACCTGCCTCGAAATCCAACCAACTGTTCATCAACTGTAAGGTAGTTTCCCGGTGTGTAGTTACACTTGCACTGCTGTATAAACATCTCCCATATCTTCCTGACTGGAATAAAGGGATCTTCTTGACGTAGGGCAGGACGCAAAGTCTTATCATTCATTCTCAAACAACGCGTGAGAAAGTTGAAACGCTCCCTGCTCATCACTGCTAAATACCTAGACCCTGAAAAAGTGCTATCAAATAGCTCAGTTGCAGTTAGGTCGTTATCTTTCATTGCAGCAGTTAGCGTCAAAATACCAAAATAGGCTCTAACTTCTATGGAGCATTTTCTAGATATTTCCACATTTGTCTACTTCACGATCTCACCAACAATGTCTTCCGTGATGAATAAATCAAAACACAAACTAGGCTGAAATATATTTCTACACATACTAGTTGGGCCTCTAGAAGTGTGCACAATGTTTCTAGCAGTGGTTCTACCTCGACTTTCACCTTTAGAAGTAGACCAACAGTGCTGGTTTTTGCCCTTCAATGTTTGACGCGCCGGGACAAGGATACGGTGATCAGAACTGGATGGCTCCAAAGTCTCACTATTTTCTGGGACAATAGATGGCACAGATTCTTCAGCTATACTTTTGTCTTCTATGTATTCTTCTTTTACATCGTGCTGAGCATCTTCATCGCTTACGTAATCTTCAATTTCAGAGTCATCTCCCGAAAAGTTATCATCACTGTTATGGTTGCTTTCTTCTAGCCAATCGGCTATCATATCATCCGTAACTCTTCTATTACTAGTCATGATGTTGAAGTTTTAAAAAGTACCTAAAAAAATATAAAACACACCGGTAGTAACTAATAATGCAAAAAAAAAACACTAACAAAACAATTTGATTATTATCGCAAAACTTACATACAAGCTACTGATACGTCTTTGGAGCGCCAAGGGTAGTAATATCAAAAAAACTAGCACAATTACAGTAACGCAATCATCGTCCTGCGACACGTGCTGGCGACGACTGAGATGTCCTTGAACGTGAATGCCATACGCGCGAAGGATAAAAAGAGAGAGCAATATATCAAAACCGCGGGCGCCTCTGCGACGTAGAGTAGTAATCTAGGGTTAAAAAATACAGTGAAATAGACGGATTTGGGCCACATGTCGGTTAAGATCGTCTAGTGGCGATTTTCCCTAGTTAAGGCGGCTACTGACTGGCCTGCCGCAGGGGCAATCTAGGGTGCAGGAGTGGGGATGACCCTTAATTGCCTCCTTAATTGTGATGTGTGTAGGCAAGCAGGGGCAATTTTTTAAGTCGGCAGGGCGGCAGGAGCGCAAGGCCTTCCTTGCTCCCTAGATCGGCCCTGCCGCTGTCACGTGTGTAGCGAGATTGCGGCAATTTCAATCAGTTTGTTGCAACTTTCACGGTGCACACGTATGAGTACAAGTCAGAACTGCAGAAAGAAAGTCATTTGAACGTTGTAACTTATAAGTAACATTACTGGGATTTGTTACCTAACTTATCATAAGGGCTAGTATGGGAAATAATATATTCCAATAGTATTAAAATTGCTGGAATATAAATAAAATATCATAAACTAAATAATTAAACAAAAATACAAATTTTAGTAATTAAATTTATTAAAACTCATCATTAGAAAACTATCCTGGCTATTTGTAACACTAGTTAAATTATAGTTAGTAAGCACTAGATAAGTTATATCACAGAATAAATTGGTTATATTAAATTATGACGAGTGAAGTTAGTCATATTTAATTGTCTTTGATAGCTTAAAAATAGCGTAGCAGAGCTATGCTGCAGCTTATAAGCACTATATTATGCTTGTAATTATTAAATAATTAGTTTTATTGATAAATGTGGGTGTATATGGGCCACAGTGTCCACTTACGATCAGGTGGACTGTGCTCATTTGTCACCCTTTTTCTATATAAAAAAGAGCCAAGGCTATATATACCGATTCATTGATATTTCGATAAAACTGGCGTCATTCCCAACGCGTGCGTCTAGCGAGACGTACACTCTCATACTGAAAGGCAGGCGTGTGTGTAAAGACAGCTCCGATATTGCTCCGATCGTTCTGCTCCCTAGATTGCCCCTGCGGCAGGCATGTCAGTAGCCGCCTTTAGCGGTAGTTGGCGTAGTTATAGATACGAATACCTGTGTGAATGAACGTGCATAAGAATACCAGTTCCTGTAACTACTTAATATTTGTACCCTAACTCTCAGGAATAACGTTTTATTTCGCTTATCTCGCGAGATGCTGCATTCGTCGGGTAAGACCGGCATAAGTTGCAGTTCCAGGGGTGCAAAACATTGAATAATAACCAATGCTTTTTAATAGTAAGCAATGTTTTATTCAAAATAACCTATAGTTATACTTGCTAAATTAAATCAAAAATGTTTTTGTATTGTGTTTAGTATTAAAACGACGAGATCAAAAATTGTAGGAAAGTAATAATCTAAGAATCTATTCTTAAGTCAAACCTAAAGTTGTAGCAAAATCTCTTTACTTTTCTTTGAATATAATAATAAGTCTTCCTTTTATTAACAACAACGAATTAAAATTAAACATTGAGATAAAAAATATTTAAACGTGTAAGAATAAGAATTACCCAAATGTCCGGCTCCGTTTTGTTAGAAAACAACTACAAAAATATCTATCTGTTCTTTTAAACTACCAATTTATTTACTCTATAACAAAAACTCTACTAAATCAAATAAGAACCGGGATGTTGGGTATTTATCTTTAATTACAATCTTAGTGACTATACTACCTAGTAAATTTTGGCACAAGAAGCTTTCAAAAACCAAACTAAAGAACAATAACAAATAATATTACACATCTTCAATACTTTTATAAAAAAATCTCTTTAAGTATGTACAGTGGTCATATAATTAGAAACATCTTATGAATACTGAAATTACGGTGGACTCATCCAATTTCGTGATAAAACAAAATATGTAATAAAACTTCGTATTTTAGTAAAATCTTTTTTTATTTTAATTAGGAACATTAATCAATCTTTCATTTACAATAATTAGGATAGTAAACTTATTTAGGACTACTATTTTTAGATTTATAACTAGTTATAGAAACCTCGTTGACTTTAACAATTTCGTGATAATCACTTTAAGTTCGTGATACATACTTAGATAATTACGTCATCACGTTGCGAGTTGCATGAGCTTTTTATTTTTTATATCACGTAATTAGAAAAATATTTCTTGACTATAAAATTAAATATTTCACGATATTATTTTTGTCAGCTTAATTGAATAAATGTGTAACACTAGTAATATAAATTTAAAAGTCACAACCCAACTGTAGCTACATTTAAAGCTATTGATCGTCGTCATCACTATCTGTCACACTGCAAGCGTCACACATGAAGATTTGTTGTTGGCTTCTTTTTGGTATAATATCTTGACTTTGGCAATGCACATGATAGGGTAACGTGTAATAAGAACAAGTTATCCATTCAGCTCCGTTTTTTGCGGACACATCGTTGGAGTACAGTCTAACACACGCTTTTGCTTTTGCTTTGGCTGTTGTGATGTGTGGTTAGTTTGCAGTTTGGAAGTTGACGGCTGAACAGGTGTTAAACATATAGCTTTAGGAACAGTCATTTTAGAACTCTGCTTCTTCGCTTTTTTTAGGTATCCATTTAGGTAGTACCAAAATATCGTGAATTTCGTTTAGGAGGCGAAGAATTTGCTATATTTGAGTCTACCTTCGTAACGCATGAGCCCGTATTTCATAAGGTGTTAAATTCTTGTTCTGGTTCTTGTGATATCGAATCATTGAGGGAATCGCTGTTAGTTAGTTCGATTTTGGTGTTAGGGATCGAATTTTCAAGGTCTTCCTCGATCAGAATTTTTTGTATTCGCTCCGTAGGAAGAGGATTGTCTGTAACTCGGCTGGGCGCGATTGCTTCTGAATACACTGCACTTCTGTTTAATGGATAAATACCTGTCTTTTCAAACCCTGCTCTTATGTTTGATGGAGTGAAACTTCTTTCATACGCTGGAGTCACAAATTTATGAAAGTCAAAACGTGTCGGCACTGAACTTGGATGTTGAGTTTTGTGCTTTTGTCATTCATCACGCCAAGCTGCTTTTAGCGGCCAAAATACCCCGACGTTAAGTGGCTGCAAGATGTCACTTGTGTGTGCTGGCATTGTGAATAATATGATCTTGTTAGATTGAGCATAAGCTAAAACATTCGGGGAAACGTGACTGGTATGTGAATCCATTATGATCAAAACCGGCCTTCCTGGAGGAATATTTTTGGAGAAAAACTGCAGCCATTCTAAAAGAGATCTGCATTTATCCAACCTTTTGGAGAAAGTCGTGTCAAACTATTTGGAAGAGAACCAGAACTTAGTTGTGATATATTTCGTATCCCTTTGAAAATCGTCATCGGTGGAAGAAAACATCCAGAAGCATTGATGGAAGCTAGTACTGTAGTGGTGGTACCTTTTTCAGCGTATGTACTGTTGTAAACATACTATTTGCCAATCTTTGATACTATTTTGGAAGGTTTGTTTACCAACATTAAGCGTGTCTCGTCGCAATTCCATATTCTGGAGACAAAGGAAAACACGTCCGTACAGTTCAACCATTTATTGCGAGAGAGGGAGGTCACAAACTACCTTTCTTATACTAACAATAAGCTTACCCTACATTACACCTCCACCCTTATTCTAAACGTACTTAAACTAATATAAAATAAAGCATATATCACTTAACTAACTTACAACTAATCAAAATCGAATCCATAACGTCGCGGGGCCCTACGAGTTCTAGGCGGGTTGGGACGCTCCCTCGTCGGGCTCGGAGCCGCGGGCGCCGGCTGCGGGTCGGGGGGACGTCGCGGAGGGCGCGGACCCGGCCGCGGCCTCTCTGCCACTCGAAATGGATTCTTCCTCCACCACTGGAGAGGAGCCATTCGGATACACTAGATAGGAACGTGATAATGAACCTCTTCCTCCTTCTGAAACATCCCGGTCTTCCCCTTCCCTATCCGGCTCCCCCATTTTACAACCGAGTTACGATAATCGCGGTACCATACGCGGTCTCCCGGCGCGAACTGCCGGCGACTGCCGTAGTTGACTGACTGTAGTTGCATTCCGCGGCGGTGAGCGCGCGCGACACACACATGACGGGGCGCTCGCGGCCGGACGCATCGCGCTGCGCCAGCACGGCGCCGAGCCCGCGCGCGCTGGCATCACACGTCACCACTAGCGGCGCGCCCGGCTCGTAGTGGCTCAGCGCGACCGCGTCACTCAAACGTCTCTTAACTACAGTGAAAGCCTGCTGTTCTAATCTACCCCATTTCCATGTCGAGTCTTTTTTTAGTAGTTCGTAAAGTGGCTGTAAAATGGTACTCAAATTGGTCACGAAACGGCTATAAAAATTGACCATTCCTAAAAATGACCGAAGTTCCGAAATGTCTGGGTGGTGACATCAACAGAATCGATTCTATCTTGTCAGGATCGGGGTGGATTCCCTCTTTATTCATTACATAACCCAAATATTTCACTTCTACTACAAAAAATTCACATTTTTCCCTTTTTAATGTAAGACCGTACTCTTTCAATTTATCTAGCACTTTACGTAAAGTATGTATATGGTTTTCGATAGTATCCGAAGCGATCAAAACGTCATCCAAAAATACTACAATCCCCTCGATATCTTTTAACAAGTTAACCATTATTCTTTGAAAAATTCCCGGATTGGATGCTAACCCGAAAACAAGTCTGTTGTACTTTTTGGTATCGTCAAGCTCGATCTGATTGTATGCCTGTGATAAGTCTATTTTGCTGAAAAATTTACTTCCCCCTAATTGCGACAATAAGTCGTCAATTTTAGGCACTGGGTACTTGTCGACAGATAAGACACGATTGAGGGTTACCTTGTAATCCGTGCATATTCGAATAGCTCCATCCGAAATATTGACAATAACGAGAGGAGTCGCCCAGTGCGAGCACTCGACGGGCTCAATGACGCTCGCGCGCAGCATGGCGTCCAGCTCTGCGTCCACGCGCTCCCGCAGCGCGTAGGGCAGCGGCCGCGCGCGGCAGAACACCGGGGCCGCGCCCGCGCTCACCGCCTGCCGAGCCCGCCCGCCCGTGAAGCGCCCCAGCCCGCCGTCGAACAACTCAGCATGGCTGAAAAACAATTCATTTACGGCATGAGATACATTCATGGCTGGTTCGTTTAACCTGTTTACATTAAATTTTGGTACGCTGATATCAAGTTCTGACAACCACTGTCTGCCTAATAAAGTAGTAGTACCGTTATTAATAACATATCAGTCTAAAACTTTGCTAGACCGCCCATATGTCACATTAACCTCGCAGTAACCTAGTGGCTTTATTTTTGTTCCATCATAAAAGGTTAGTGCTAAATCACATGGTAATAATGGTAAATGATTAAATGTATCTTCATACGTGGTTTTACTAATACACGACAACGCCGAGCCAGTGTCTATTTCCATTTAAGTTATGTCCACTCACTAATAAACACAAACCCACCGGCTTGTACTGTGACAGCGACATTTGCATCACCGGTTCTTCCTCGGGTGCCTCGTGGTACTCACTCAATGCCGCCCCATCGTCTGCATTGACATAATTTGTTTTCGGTCTCTGATTATGTCCTCCGCGACCGCTGTTCCGGCTTTTCTTTCCAAAGCCCTGTACATTCGCCGCGTTTCCGTTGTAGGCGCCCGGCGCCACCGACTGGTTATTTGTGAAACACACGCGTCGTAGGTGGCCCATCACGCCACACTTGCTGCATATGTAGGTTCTGAACTTGCACTCGCTGGCAACATGGTCAACCTCTCCGCAAGCTCCGCATAGCGAACCGCGCACATCCGCGCGGCCTGCGCCGACGCCGCCGCCACCGCCTCCCGCCACTGCGCTGTGCCGGGTATGGCGGGCTCGCTGGCCAACGCTCATGGCGTTCAGCCCCCCGTTTGCCCCGCCGCCGCCCTCGCCGCGCAGCTGCCCCGCGGCCTGCGATGACGTCACCGCTGCGCCAGACTCCACGAGCGCCGCGTCCCGCTCTGCTGCCTCCAGCGATCCCGCTAAAATCGCTGCCTTGTCATAGGACAATAATTTTTCTTCCGTGAATAATCTCTGCCGTATGACGTCACTTCGAAGTCCGCACACCAACTGATCCCGTAAATTGTCCTGTAGGACTGCACCGAATTCACAATGTCTACATAGTTTCTTTAATGCCGCCACGTAATCACTGATCGATTCACTGTCTGTTTGTCTTCTTTGCTTAAAACGATAACGTTCCGCCATCGGAGATGGTTTCGGTTGCAAATGATTACGTAATAGTACAACTACATCCAAATACGTAAGTTCCGCGGGTTTCTTAGGACTCGCGAGGGTGGATAACAGTTCATACGCACTTTCACCCATAGCCGCGATCAAGGTAGGCAATTTAATTTCGTCCTTCACTGAATTTGCCACAAAATACATTTCTAGCCGCTCCACGTAAGCAGTCAAACTCACTAATCTTTCCGACCGACATTTTGCACGCTGATTGTTCGCAGTCTAAATTTTCCGTATTTTCTATTTTCACGTATTTTTCGCCGATTTAAGGCGGATTTATATTTGCCTGACGTGTTGTGTCGTGACGGGCTCTGACGTGATGGCTAGTGTTCACATCTTTATGTTGTGTTCTGACGGCCTCTGACGATATTTTGAATCAATACAGTCATAGCTCTCGGAGAGTTCATACGTTTACAATGTTTTCCCATGAATCATCCGACTCTGATTCAGAGTATGAAGAAGATATTGAATTTTTGGTGCTGGCAACTCATATAAAAAAGAAAGGAATAAAGAGAAGAAGATATTGGGTTCATCCAGCGAATAATAATAGAGAGTCTAAAGGCGAGTTTCACTGTCTCGTTAAAGAGATTGAGAACGATGCTCAATGATTTCATCAGTATTTTAGAATGTCCAAGGCACAGTTCGAGGAAGTTCATTCATTGATTGAAGGGGACATAAAAAAAATACATACGAAGTTTCGTAAACCTATAGGGACAAAAGAAAGACTTGCTGTGTGTTTAAGGTAAGGATTTTTTTTTAACATTATTAGTAAAGACAGGTAATCAGTTATCATCAGAAAAGTCTGCATTGCTATAATATGATGAGATGTTATCTTCTTCAAAATTATAAAGTGTTGAGGCCGATTGTTGAGAGTTGATGTTGTCGAGAGTTGGTGTAGCTGGGACTGCTGGAAATGTCGTCATGAATGTGGATGGTGGAATGGGTAGCTGGAGTGGCAGCGGTTGTTGTGGCCGAGTAACTATCTGGTGAGTCACATTAATTGGTGTTCTAAGAATTTGTGCTTGTGTCTGAAGTTTCCTTATTTCAGCTTCTGATACAGCAGTGTGCAAATCCAATTTTATTTTGGTCTGATCTAGTTTCGGAAGTTTTTTAACTGCTTTGCTCATGCTCAGAAAAAACAAGTCTGTTTCATCCGTCATATTATCCTCCTGCTGCTTTGAATGATGCTTATGGATTCTCAAATCGTGCGAAGACTTCATCATATCATATAGATCCTGTAAGTTTGGTTTTCTAACAGGCTGTTGGGAGTGCGAGGAACTACCAGTAGTACCAGAACGGTAGTTCCTCGCACTCCCAACAGCCTGTTAGAAAACCAAACTTACAGGATCTATATGATATGATGAAGTCTTCGCACGATTTGAGAATCCATAAGCATCATTCAAAGCAGCAGGAGGATAATATGACGGATGAAACAGACTTGTTTTTTCTGAGCATGAGCAAAGCAGTTAAAAAACTTCCGAAACTAGATCAGACCAAAATAAAATTGGATTTGCACACTGCTGTATCAGAAGCTGAAATAAGGAAACTTCAGACACAAGCACAAATTCTTAGAACACCAATTAATGTGACTCACCAGATAGTTACTCGGCCACAACAACCGCTGCCACTCCAGCTACCCATTCCACCATCCACATTCATGACGACATTTCCAGCAGTCCCAGCTACACCAACTCTCGACAACATCAACTCTCAACAATCGGCCTCAACACTTTATAATTTTGAAGAAGATAACATCTCATCATATTATAGCAATGCAGACTTTTCTGATGATAACTGATTACCTGTCTTTACTAATAATGTTAAAAAAAAATCCTTACCTTAAACACACAGCAAGTCTTTCTTTTGTCCCTATAGGTTTACGAAACTTCGTATGTATTTTTTTTATGTCCCCTTCAATCAATGAATGAACTTCCTCGAACTGTGCCTTGGACATTCTAAAATACTGATGAAATCATTGAGCATCGTTCTCAATCTCTTTAACGAGACAGTGAAACTCGCCTTTAGACTCTCTATTATTATTCGCTGGATGAACCCAATATCTTCTTCTCTTTATTCCTTTCTTTTTTATATGAGTTGCCAGCACCAAAAATTCAATATCTTCTTCATACTCTGAATCAGAGTCGGATGATTCATGGGAAAACATTGTAAACGTATGAACTCTCCGAGAGCTATGACTGTATTGATTCAAAATATCGTCAGAGGCCGTCAGAACACAACATAAAGATGTGAACACTAGCCATCACGTCAGAGCCCGTCACGACACAACACGTCAGGCAAATATAAATCCGCCTTAAATCGGCGAAAAATACGTGAAAATAGAAAATACGGAAAATTTAGACTGCGAACAATCAGCGTGCAAAATGTCGGTCGGAAAGATTAGTGAGTTTGACTGCTTACGTGGAGCGGCTAGAAATGTATTTTGTGGCAAATTCAGTGAAGGACGAAATTAAATTGCCTACCTTGATCGCGGCTATGGGTGAAAGTGCGTATGAACTGTTATCCACCCTCGCGAGTCCTAAGAAACCCGCGGAACTTACGTATTTGGATGTAGTTGTACTATTACGTAATCATTTGCAACCGAAACCATCTCCGATGGCGGAACGTTATCGTTTTAAGCAAAGAAGACAAACAGACAGTGAATCGATCAGTGATTACGTGGCGGCATTAAAGAAACTATGTAGACATTGTGAATTCGGTGCAGTCCTACAGGACAATTTACGGGATCAGTTGGTGTGCGGACTTCGAAGTGACGTCATACGGCAGAGATTATTCACGGAAGAAAAATTATTGTCCTATGACAAGGCAGCGATTTTAGCGGGATCGCTGGAGGCAGCAGAGCGGGACGCGGCGCTCGTGGAGTCTGGCGCAGCGGTGACGTCATCGCAGGCCGCGGGGCAGCTGCGCGGCGAGGGCGGCGGCGGGGCAAACGGGGGGCTGAACGCCATGAGCGTTGGCCAGCGAGCCCGCCATACCCGGCACAGCGCAGTGGCGGGAGGCGGTGGCGGCGGCGTCGGCGCAGGCCGCGCGGATGTGCGCGGTTCGCTATGCGGAGCTTGCGGAGAGGTTGACCATGTTGCCAGCGAGTGCAAGTTCAGAACCTACATATGCAGCAAGTGTGGCGTGATGGGCCACCTACGACGCGTGTGTTTCACAAATAACCAGTCGGTGGCGCCGGGCGCCTACAACGGAAACGCGGCGAATGTACAGGGCTTTGGAAAGAAAAGCCGGAACAGCGGTCGCGGAGGCCATAATCAGAGACCGAAAACAAATTATGTCAATGCAGACGATGGGGCGGCATTGAGTGAGTACCACGAGGCACCCGAGGAAGAACCGGTGATGCAAATGTCGCTGTCACAGTACAAGCCGGTGGGTTTGTGTTTATTAGTGAGTGGACATAACTTAAATGGAAATAGACACTGGCTCGGCGTTGTCGTGTATTAGTAAAACCACGTATGAAGATACATTTAATCATTTACCATTATTACCATGTGATTTAGCACTAACCTTTTATGATGGAACAAAAATAAAGCCACTAGGTTACTGCGAGGTTAATGTGACATATGGGCGGTCTAGCAAAGTTTTAGACTGATATGTTATTAATAACGGTACTACTACTTTATTAGGCAGACAGTGGTTGTCAGAACTTGATATCAGCGTACCAAAATTTAATGTAAACAGGTTAAACGAACCAGCCATGAATGTATCTCATGCCGTAAATGAATTGTTTTTCAGCCATGCTGAGTTGTTCGACGGCGGGCTGGGGCGCTTCACGGGCGGGCGGGCTCGGCAGGCGGTGAGCGCGGGCGCGGCCCCGGTGTTCTGCCGCGCGCGGCCGCTGCCCTACGCGCTGCGGGAGCGCGTGGACGCAGAGCTGGACGCCATGCTGCGCGCGAGCGTCATTGAGCCCGTCGAGTGCTCGCACTGGGCGACTCCTCTCGTTATTGTCAATATTTCGGATGGAGCTATTCGAATATGCACGGATTACAAGGTAACCCTCAATCGTGTCTTATCTGTCGACAAGTACCCAGTGCCTAAAATTGACGACTTATTGTCGCAATTAGGTAGGCTGGGGCATTACAATAGGGGCCAAATTCTTCCAAATTGCGTTACATACTTGTTCTACTATGATCTTTACTGTAGCAAACCCCATACGGTAATTGAACCCCAATGATCGAAAAGAATTTCCAGTTGCCATAAATCTGTAATATAAAAACACAGATAATTTATTTTTGTTTCAGCGGAAAAATGTAAAGATGACTGGAATAAATTACGAAATAGCTACGTCAACGCATTGAAACGCCGTAAAAATAAAAAAAGTGGGCAAGCCGCTCAATTTATCCCGCCATGGAAATATGAAGCACAAATGAGTTTTTTACAGCCATTTATGGAATCAAGGTCGACAACAACAAATCTTTCATCACCTCCTGAATCTCCAGAATTTCACTCAGAAAGTACTCAATCAGACAATTCTCGTCCAGCAACACCACAAGGCAAGTGCAAGCTATTACACAAGGTAGAACACGGTTTAATTAAATAAAGCAGTATAGTACTTACGGGGTTGTTTAATTTTTTCTCCTATCTCCTCCCAAACAGATGCTCTAATGGATTGGTCCCTATATTCTTTACATTTGGTGTCATAAATCGCTTTATATTGTCGTACTATTTCTATCAAGTCGTCCATACTTTAAATTCTTTTCTAAAACTTTAAATCGAGTGGATAAACAAAAAGCGCACGTGGCTCTGATGCGTCACAACGCAATAATGTCGCGTGCACACTTGTCTGCTGCGTCGCCAGGCGGCCGCTCCCCCGCCCACCCACCTCCACCCCTCTGATGCGATCGGAATCTCGTCTGATGCGTCGCATCAGAAGCCCTCACAACAGATCGCGACACACAAATATAAATCTCACCATACTAAATGTATGAAACCGATACCATTCTGATGCGTCACAACACAACACGTCAGACAAATGTAAATCCGGCTTTACACCATTAAAATCCTCGTCGCCAGTGAGACAAAGGAAAACACGTCCGTACAGTTCAACCATTTATTGCGAGAGAGGGAGGTCACAAACTACCTTCCTTATACTAACAATAAGCTTACCCTACATTACAATTCTATCTGGGGATTGTAACAAATCGTGCTTAATCAGGGTCTTCTCTAACTTTTCAATAAAGTCAGCAAGGATAGCAGGATTGGAACAACTAGCTCGGCCAGCAGACAAATTCTCCGGTGTTCGCAAAGATAAGCAATAACGCTGTTTAAAATTGACCTACCGGTTCCAACCAGCAAATCCTTTGTCTGAGCTAAAGCAATGTTTAGGATTTTTTGCCTCTGCCAATGAAAAGGCAATTTTTCGAATTTGATTAACTGTGAGGCCAAACCCGAGCTCCTGCATTTCAATTATATAAGTAACTAATTTTTGCTCTATTTCAACCGTTAGTGAAAACGGTCTTCCAATTTTAGACATAATAAATTGAGTTTTGATTCCTTTATTTTTGTCTTCTTTCGCACGGCGAACATTATGTTTGAGAGTAGTCCATGAAATACCGAATTCTTTAGATGCGCGGTAAACAGTCATATTTTTTTTAGATACATTATCGACTGCGCTTAGCAGGGTCACTTGTTCCTACATTATATCTGTAAAAAATCATTGAAAGTCAGGGAACAATATAAAATTCAACTCATTTAGTTCCGTGACGAAAATTCCGAAAGTTTTTCTATTTTTATTTTTTTTTTCACCAACCATATACATTCAGAAGACAACAAAAAATATGTGCTTACATCTGATACAATACTATTGTTAGGTGAAAAACTGGTGCCTAAACTAGGTAAAACCTGTATCTTAGGTCACCAGGTCCCCACCTGTAGGTATCCGTGGACAAAATAAATAGATGTAGCTACAATAAATGTTTTCATTCGTAATTAAAAACAATACAACGAGATTTACTTATATATTCTAATAAAAAAAAAAAACGCACAAAACTAATAAGAAAGAACACAACAAAAAAAGGGGAATGTCTCACTAAATAGCAAACAGAGACAACAGTTAAACATTTTACAACTGTAGGTACTTCATTTTACTTATTAAGGCCTTAACAGTGGTTGAAATGCCTAAATCTAGGATATTTAAGTAAAAAAATCTCAATAACTGTTCATTTAATCCACAAAGAAAAAATATAGGGTAACAGAAGAAGATTTTGTAAATGTTTTTAATTTAACAAAATTGTATTTTTGTCAACCCCTTATTAGAAAAAAAATCCCCAAAGAGTACCTATCTTTGTCATATTTTGCAAAATTTCTCCAAAACGGCACAAGCTTTTTAAATAGTTCTTACACTAAAAAAAAGGTCTTAAAAATATTAATATTTTTAATTGAGAGTTTTATTTTTTTACCCGTTTTATAAGAGAATATATCATTTTTCCCTGAAATTGAATATATTTACGCGAGCGCGCATGCTCCGTCGCCATGTAAGCTCTGTCACAGTCCGTTTTCGGACATCGTCGAGGGTGGACCGCACGTCGATGTTGGAGCGACTTCGTTCAAATATATATTAGTTTTATAAAAGTTTATACTCAATTATAAATATTTTTATGACTAGAAATACTTAATTTAGTTAATATCTGTACACTGGTAACTGTAAATATTATTTTCTAAATAAATGAATTTTTAAAGTGCCCAAAGAAGAAGAAATTTTTGCGGCGACGTTGATTAGTGAAATTGAAAAATGCATTTTTATATAATTTAGATGTGGAACGACGAACATGCTCTTGTTACTTAGATTGGGATAGTTTTTAATACCTATGTAATTTTATTGTTGCATATTTTTATTAATTAGTTGATAATGAATTTTATAATTATGTATTACAATAAAACGCTGTTTTTATAAGTATGACTTTATAAAATATTATTGGAGAGAGAAATAAAGTTACAGATACTTACATTTAGGTACACTGTTATCAAATTAAATCAAACAATTTAAATAAATAAAAGAATGGTGCTTACCTAAGTATAAATAACTATATAAAGACATTCTTGGGTTTATGGTTTTTTTTTTGTTAGACAAAGTATCATCTAAAAAATGTAAAAATTTTAAATTGGAGAGGGGTTTCTCTACGTGATAAAGTTAGAAATGAAGGAATTCGCATTAGAACCAGAGTAACTGACATAGCTCAACGGAATATTACAGTGAAATGGCAATGGGCTAGCTATATAACTTGGAAAATATATAAAAAATAGGAAGAAAGGTCCTCGAGTGGCAACCTCGTACAGGTAAGCGAATTAGTACTCAACCTTTATTCCTCTTCACGTATTCTCATACGCTTTTCTTTACACATACACACACACACACACACACACACACACACACACACACACGCACACGCGCGCAAGCACGCACGCGCACACACACACACACACACACAAATAGGTCGCAAATAATACTTACCTAGTACTATTAGGCAAGAGTGAATAGGTTTTTGTTAAGTCAGTGCAATTCACCATCTTAGACTACATAACCACTTACCGATGGGATTGTAGTTGCTTTACTACTTGCTGGGTTAAAATAGTAAAAAAAAAAATTTACCCTGTGAAAGTTTGCATTTAGATATAATTTTTCTAACCAACCATAAAAATATGATGAGAATATGTATATAAGTATAAAGGTTGCCTCACACGGAACAGTAATAATATAATATTATATCTTCCATTATCTCTGAAATCCGAGGTATGTTCATATTAAGAGGCTGAATAGAGCCACATTGAAATGCATGGGGATGGTTTTGTAATTTCACGTCATTATCGAAAAAAAATTGTACGTATTTCAGGTGGCGGTTTGCAAAACACGATTCCACAAAAATTAACTCAATAGAAAATAATTGCAAAGTTGCTTCCAAAAATACATAAATTTTCAACGTCAATTTTTTTTTACGTGGTAGAGCCATGCTACAGCTATATTTATTAGGTATAGTTGCAGCACGAATGGGTCGGCTCGACCGGAGAAGGGCCACGCTCTCACGGAATAACATTTAAAATAGCAGTTTAACCCTGCTGTGTTTCGTATGGTGAGTGTAGATAACCGGAGGACCTTTTTACTGGAAACGAGGCATTACATCTTAGTCCTCACGGGTGACAACGCATCTACATTTTGATACGTAATCGAGGATAGATGTAGATGTGTATGGGCCGTAGCAACCACTTACCATCAGGTGGACTGTGTGCTCGTTCGTCACCCTTATTCTATTTAAAAAAACTTTCTGAGATTTCAAAATAAAATAAAATAATGTTAAGTATTGTAAGCACCCCTACAATTATGTCTCATGTTAATAAAGCTATTGGGCTAATTTGATTTGTAATAAAGTGATTTTACTTTATAGGTTAAATAATTTATTTACCTTTCTATATCAAGAACTGTTTTTCTGTCACTCCTATTGAATTTGACAGTGCTTGCTGAAATTTAGCATCTTTAGATGGATCAGAATCGCCCGCTGATCCGGCTGTTAGATATTGCAAAAATAATCGAAAATATTTATTTTTACTTTCATGCACAAGACTACCTTGTTTTATTTTATTACGGTCAAATAATATTTATTAGGTTATAAAGCAAGTATTTCTGTAAATGTTTTGTATGTAAATGTAAATGTTTTCATTATTTTGTTATTCTATTGTTTACAGTTATTATCACGTCTTAGCTTTATACCAAGAATTACATTACAAATTCTTGATGGGATGCTATGTAACGCGCATACATTATTTTCATCAAGAACTATAATATATATATATATATATATATATATATATATATATATTTGTTTTTTTTACCAGTAGAGTTTTAACAAAATCTTAAAAAAGTTCAATGAATTAAAAAAATGCCAATCAGTTATAAAAAGCCAATGTTATTATTTTCATTTTGATTAATTTAATTCGAGACTAAAATAAATGTGAAAGGGCTTTTATCTGCAATAATTATTTTCATCAAAAATAACATAGACTTATAAAAGTCATATACACGGTCAATCATACTGAAGATTATCAATTGTACTACAAAATATTTAAAAGACTATTTCCAGTATAATGACCCGAATATCATCATTAATGTTTGACTGGCACACTTAAAAGTTTTATCACATGGCTAAATGATTGATTTTTATATTATGATAAGGTCATGCTTTTCTATAAAAAGTTGCAAGAAATTTTAATTCCCGGCCCTATTGGTTTGTTTTACTTTTTACTTAATTAGTGAAAAACAAAATGGACTGAACTAAAAGTTTACTTCCTTGTGTAAAAAGTGCTATTTAGAATTTTATGCAAATGATAATTAAAGTTTCTATGTAAATAAGTGTAACATAGCGGGAATTATATTCAATGGTAGCGGCCATCCACATTTGCAAAGCCAGCATCATTTTCTGTACAGAAACCGGCAAAGTGTTGCTCAAGGCACTATAAACAAAGCAGCTGATAAAATGTTACACTCATAACTGTTAACAAAAATGTTTTCCCAAATGGTCTTATAGATAATAATAACTATTCCGCCGTGTT